TAAAGTTGGGAATCTTGAAAAGACTTCATCCAGTACTCTTTTCATAAAATCTGCCATAATTTCATATACTTGAAATAGACATTCGTGAGACAAGGTTTTCCATTTTCTTTTACTATCCCGGATCAATTTCATCACTACCGAATACGGAACGAACCCGGGGAGTAATCTACCGCGGGAACAACTGATTCGATCAGTAATTTTGGTCATAGAGAATTCTTCAGACCCAATGGACGAACTCTGTTCTTGTTCAGGCACATTAATGTACGTCCCAAATATACTAAACTTCACAGTTTCTCTTGATTTCTTCTTGCTGAATGAGAAAATTGGTAGCGAAGAACGGAGACTTTTTTTAAATTTCTCGAATTCGTTATTAATATAATTCCAAAGTTCATTATTATCTCTTGAACATGCTACTTCTTCATTGATTATGGCAGTATATTCTTTGATCAGGTGATATAACTCCATTCTTGGGGTTTTACTGGAGGGTTCCGGAATTTTGTCTAGTTCTCTGCGTGTCTAAAATATACAATAGATTAATAATCTTGAGAATTAATTTAAAGAATACGAATCCATTCATACTTTATCCAAATTCTTTTGAATTTCTTTGCTAATTTCTGGTAGATCATTTATTATGGCTTTAATTAACAAATCCGAAAGTTTTTGTTGTAATTTCTCAATACCAATGAGTTCGCTAAGGTGATTACGATAATCTTTCCACGGCATTTCATTTTTAAAAAACTATAAAGAAAATAAATTAGAATATAATATTGTTTGTAAATGAAGATTAGATACTAACATCAATCTCTTCTTCTCTGGCTTCCCTAAGAGTTATGTTTTCCATTAAACGTTTCTTATTTGGATTTTTAACAATATAATATCCTAAGGAAAGTTTATGGGCTTCGCCTCTTATAATTCTTAGCCATGGCTCGTGAGTACCTGGTTCAATTATATCAGGCTTGGTAAGAACACCAAGAGTACGAGACCCCGACGGATCCACTATTTTCGCGAGAGAAATTATCTCTTGATTATCAATCTCATCTTTGCACGAAATGGTTGCAATAATGATGGATTTTTCTCTCTCAATATAACTGTTTACGAGATCTAAAACTAATTGAATGAACTTTCTGTCTTCGATTTTTTCGGTATGGCCTATTTGGGATAAATAAGTTATGATGGTCTTCGATCAAAATAAATTATGAATACGATAAACCTAATCGATTCTTACGAATAATGCCGGGCAAGTCTATTAAACTCAGATTTGGCACATTATTTCCTTTTATCTCCAAACAAACAATGTTCTTGGTAAATTTAAGACTGTTAGAATCCGAGTCTCCATTGCAACGAGTTATATCAAAATTCCAATCAAGATACCGATCAATACTATCTGAAGAGTTGAGTAAAGCCTTTTGTGCCCTACGAGCCATAAGCTCAACATCTTTAGGGTTATATATTTTAGCCCCGAATTTCGTCTCGTTTGGACGAAGAAGAGGTTTACCATCTTCATCATATTCGTGACGCAAAGAAATTTGACACTCCCATGGTTCTTCAGACTCGATTAGTTGCAATTCCATGACGCAACGAGTACATGTTCCATCAGATCTTGGTAACTAAAGTGAAACATATTATAAAACATAGAAATTATTTGTCTTAAGTAATATAAATTAAATTACCGCAACGCCAGAAATTGCTTCGAGCAACGAACTTTTTCCAGCAGATTGATTGCCACAAAAAACAATTGTAGGCAAATTAACAGTAAAATGTGCGCCAATACGACGCAATTGATTTAAAATCTCTATATATTTCGACGCCTTCTTTGCATATTGACTATCGGCAATAGTTTGAGCCATTTTTGGTCGAGTAATATTTTCTTTCACGCCACTCAATGTGAAAAGAGGTGAGACAAACATCTTGGTGAAGATAACGCATCTGGAACGCATCATGTTAGTAGACCGAAATAAATATGTGATCATCCTGACAAGAAGTGAACCGTATGCGATGACATAAATCCTATTTATCTCATTGCTAACGTAACCTCTTCTTATTAATATCATGATGGATTTTTACATTAAAAATTCGTCATGTTGATTTCATTTTTTATGAACATCCATTACTTATATATTTTATACTGCGAAGTTTAACAATGCGTTTAACTATAAATATGACTAATCCATTTCCATTAAATTTTTTCAATGTTAAATTATTCATTTAATTTGAGACTTATTTTTTATTGCAATAAATTTTTATTAATCAAATTTAGATTAACAATTATCTTATTGTCAGATTCAAAGATACATACTATATTTATAAATAAGAGTATTCATTTAATACTATATATATTATAGTCTAACTAATATTAATTATACATAAATATTTTTTTTTTTTTTTTTAACCCGCTGTCAGGCTAGTTATGTGCGCTTTATTAAACAAAAGTAAACTATACATAC